CGCCTCCAAGAATACACCTTCTCGGTCGTGCATAAATCTGGTCACCTCCATCAAGACGCCGACTGCCTGTCACGGCATCCAGTGGATCCACCAGACGCCACAGAGAGAGCTACGGAGGCTTGCGTCTTATCAATATCAGACTTTCTTGATATCGCCTCTGAGCAACGCCGCGACCCAGATTTGCTTCCCATCATAGAAATCCCGAGTTCCGCTACTCCACCCACTTCTCTGAACTTGTATTTCCTTCATGAAGGTGTTCTCTACCGCCACAACATGCGCCCTAATGGTCCTGACCGCCTTCTCGTCGTGCCTTCCCATTTGCGTGTAGATGTTCTCCGACAGCTTCAAGATGAACCTGCCGCTGGTCACCTGGGAGTCACCCGCACTTATGATCGCGTCCGGTGCCGTTTTTTCTGGCCACACCTATATCGCTCTGTGCAAAAGTATGTCGCCAGCTGCGACCTTTGTCAACGTTGAAAACGACCAACATCGCTTCCAGCTGACCTTCTTAACCCTATTGAGATCCCTACTGAACCACTCTACCGCATAGGGCTCGAACTTCTCGGGCCATTTCCCACTTCTGCATCCGGGAACAAATGGGTTGACGTGGTGACCGACTACGTGACACGTTACGCGATAACCCGCGCCCTTCCAACCAGCTGCGCTACCGATGTCGCCGACTTTCTACTGCATGACCTCATATTGCATCACGGCGCTCCTCGACAGCTCGTTACTAACCAAGGCCGATACTTTTTGTCTCGCGTCGTCCAGGATATCGTACGTTTCTGTTCCACGAACCACAAGTTCACAACGGCATACCATCAACAAACTAATGGACTTACACAGCGCCTGAATCGCACTATCATGGACATGTTGTCAATGTTTGTTTCTCCACACCACCGTGACTGGGACGCAACGTTGCCCTACGTCACCTTCGCTTACAACTCCTCCAGACATGACACCGCAGGCTATTTCCCGTTCTACCTTCTTTATGGACGGGAACCCTCTCTGCCTCTTGATACACTCCTTCCCGCTGGTTCAAGCCCCCTGTCACATACGTCCGCGATGCCATAGAGTGAGCCGACGCAGCACGACAGATTGCCCGAGAACGACTCATACTTTCTCAAGCCTCTCAGAAAGATCGATACGATCGTCACCACCGCGAAGTTTTGTATGCACCAGGTTCTCTCGTACTCTTGTGGACCCCATGTCGTCACATCGGCCTCTCAGAAAAACTTTTATTTCGCTATGACGGACCATACAAAGTCCTGCGCAAGATCACCAACCTCACCTACGAGATACAGTGAGTCGTCGACGAAGCGCACTCAATGCCAGCACCATCCACTATTATGCACGTCGTAAGACTGAAGCCTTATGGGTCACCCAACACTTTCCTTTCGTGACAAGCGCCAGGTCGGCGCTTTAACGCCGCGGGGTAGTGCCACAAGGCAGTAGTGGGATTGGGGCATAAAGTGGTATAGGATCCCTGCGTGAAAGAAAAGACTACGAAGTGAATAGAGACTGGTCCCAGCCCGCCAGTGCGCCAGGCAATGTCGTCGCGTGTAATCGTCGTAAATATCTGCAAATATACGTTTCGTTGTAAGAATATAGTCTCATATTGACGATAACTGCATTATTGCTTACAACAAAAAAAGGGGGGGGGGGGGAGTTGTATAGTGAAGACAGTATATTAAAAAAGGAAAGAAACCAAAGATTTAGATAGTGAGAAAAAATAATCAACAAGAAAGTAGACACTAATAGCTATAACTTGATTTTGGGAGCCGACCAGACAGCTGGTTTTGCCAAACCCGATTAATTTGGTATGTCAAAGATTTATCCAGATTTGAAAATTACTTTTCGACCCTGTTTTTTGAGTACCTGTTAACGTGGGCTTTGTGTTGAAAAACGTTTAGAGTCTTGAATAAAATTACACACCGCATCGAATACATCTCTGTGGCGATTTCCCAAAACAGAGGCACCAAAATTTAGAACATTTTCTGCGGTTAAATTTAAACCTAGCTTCGCAAATGGAATATCTAAAAGTCGTTTCCTAATTAATGCATAGTTCCGACATGACCCAAAATAATGTTCAATAGTTTCTGATTCTTCGCAAAACGGACAAAGGGGGGAACGCGCCGAATCCGCTCCTTCTTCATCGATGCGTCTACGATGGGGCGGAGCCATGCCCACTGCCTCGTAATAATATTATTCCCTACAAGGCTTTCCACGACAATGTCATCTACATGCACATTACCGTGAAAAAGCCTATACATCACAACTGATCACTTCAGCTGAAAGAGGTGATAAAGAGGATGTATATTTAAATTCTGATAAAGTGGCGTTGCATTGGTTAAGAAATGGCTGAAAGTCATGAGTCGAAGTGCTTGATTTGTAGGCGTTGTAGTTGGTTGAGGAGGCTCAAATATGTGTTACCCCAAGCTGATATGCAATAAGATAAATGGCTGCGAATATGTGCGTGATAAAGGGAGTGGATCATGTGTGGCTGAAAATATGAACGAGTTTTCATTATGGTACGTATTCCAAAGGTTATCTTGCGGATGAGTGATTGCGCATGAAGACTGAATTTCATATCCCGGTCAAGAACTACACCAAGAAACGTTGTACTGTCGGACATGGGAATCAAATTGTCGTCCAGACGCACAGATATAGATTTTGAAAGTACAGTCGGGAAGGAATGAAAAACTATAAAAACGGTTTTTGATGGATTAATTCTTAACATGTTCATTCGACACCAGGAAATTATATTATGTAGATCAGCGTTAATGTTTCGTTTTAGCTCATCGACATTATTAGCATAAGTAAAAATGGTCGTGTCTGCTGCATATAAGATACAGTCTGTAGCGGTCAAAACATTAGGTAGATCGTTAATAAATAGCAAAAAGAGCAGCGGGCCAAGAATCGAGCCCCGAGGAACATCTTGATTTACTTTCTTAGCTGCTGAAACTTTACTGTCACTCTGAACAACTTGAGTGTGATTATGCAGATATCTAGATATAAATTAAAGTGCAGGGCCAGTTATGCCATACGATTCAAGTTTATGTATAAGAATTTTGTAAGTAATTGTGTCAAAACCTTTCGTTAAATGTATGAATACGCCACCAACTACGAAGTCTTGGTCGATTGCCCCTTTAATTTTATCGGTCAGGATTAGAAGCACAGGCTCAATGGAATAGCCAGGCCGAAAGCTGTACTGTTTAGATGTCAACAGATTAAACTTTGTCAAATAGGATATTAATCTTGTATGCATAGGACGCTCGATCATTTTGCTCAAAAATGTAAGAATACAAATGGGCCTATAATTAATCAGTAGTTCGCAATCACCTTTTATTGTGAACAGGTGTGATTCTACCAACTTTTAGGGAATCGGGAAATATGCCTGCTTTAAACATCTTGTCAACAATATCTGCAATGACAGGAGATAGCTCACTGGAGACTAACTTGATGTGAGATGGATTAACAGAGTCAAGACTAGGTCCCGTGGACCTGAGCGAAGTTATAACACGAAGAACGTCTTCTGCACTCGTAGGCCGCAAGAAGAAAGAATGAGGCTGGCGAGGTAATGTTATTAATGGGGGATTTCTCAGAGATTCACAGGTACTGCTAAAATACACCCTGAACGCATTGGCGATATCAGTTGGATGGCTGTATGTTTCTGTTTTAGTTCTAATTTTCGTTATCTGCTCACGACATTTATTATTTAAGAATTTCTTCATGACCTGCCAGTTGCGCCTCGTATTATTGCCATTAGCGAAACTTTTTTTCTGAAAATATTCTCGTTTTGCACATTTAGGTGCGGCTGCAGGTAGTAATCATCTCATAATGTAGCTATATCGAATAAAGAAATACGAGCACAGAAAGAAAATTTGAGGAGGTATATCTGCACTGCCATGCAGTTACCGGCTTAACACACTCCTTCATCCCAAGTTGAGTGTAACTAACTGCGGTCACCTCCTGCAGACCTCTTCGCCTTTCTTCTATCCGTTTTCTCTATTCGGACTGACAAGACACTAGCCCAACAAGAAGCATACATAATCTTGATTCTCGTAGCACAGTGTCATTCTTCGTATAGGTAGGCTTCCTTAGCTTCTGACTCATTTTGAAAACATTTAAGGTGACATGCTTAGATCCCTCACTAAACTTGAAACTTGACCATCGGCTGCGACTGATTTACAGCGTGGCAGCTTGGGCTAGTTGGTATATCATGACGATAGTTATATAGTTTTACAGCGTCGGGTGTGAGGGATTCAAATAATCATCATCATTACATATGGCGTCACCATTCAAATTTTTCATGGCGTCGCATATAGCAATTGTTTCTTTCGTCATCATGGCATCACAAATTATGGTGTGACTTCATGTTATGTAACGTCCACATGATGCCGTTACGAGTGATTCAAGGCAAACGACGCATGTTTCTTTGCGAACAGGCATACAGCATATACCTAAGTATTCGTTTAGAAAAATAAAACCACAAAAGAAGCATTCTAACTGCACAATGGCTGATAAGGCTCCTGCAAAGAAAGGCAGCATCCAATCACGCGTTCCCGGCGAAGATTAGGTTGAAGTTGCTTCGCACTACATACGCGGGCTTCGAATTTCCGTGCTTGCGTTTCCCGCTTTCGTATATGAAAGGGAGACCCGTCGGGTAACTCATTCAGTTCAATCAGCACGGAAATTAAATGCACCAAGAGCACAGCAAGAAAACAACGCGCAGCGAAAGGAACACATTCGTCTTTGTGAAGATGGTCGTGAAACAGCTTCGCTGGACATTCACTTTTTGGGATGACCGTCAATCTTTAGTGAAGTAAACCTAATGAAATACGAATCAGGATGAAATGGATCATGCATCGAAGCCCACCGTATGCCTGGCGGCTTACAATTTTAGAATACATTCTCTTTTCCCCAGAAAGCCATATCTGAGAATGGGCGGCAGCTTTCGAAAACAACAAAGCGCATACCTCTATGGCGGGCCAGTTCAGCTAGAACTCGATCATGGCTCGCAACCAGTCGCCGAAGCCCACGGCGGGCCACTTCTTGGAACCCAGGTGGAAGTGGGCGTAGTTGCACTGCAGTACCTCGAAGTCGCTGAAGCGCTGGTCTCCCGCCGAGCGCAGAAGCAGCTCGGCCGGCGGACACTCGGTCAGAGAAACGTACTCGTCCAGGAACGCGGCAGTCAGGTCCCTGAAAACATGCCATTTGTTTGGCGTATATTGCGACTGCATGTTCCTGCCCAACATTGTCCACGACACTCCCGCCCGACACTTCCCTATAGACCACCGCGGGCTCTTATCGTGGTTGTCTAGTGATCATGATGCTCGACTGCAGACCCGAAGATCGCGGGATTTTCGATGGAAGTGAAAAGGCTGGATGTTTGTTCGCTTAGATTTGAGTGCACGTTAGAGAGCGCCAGGTGGTCGTAATTCGCACGGGCCTCTACTGTGGCGCCCCTCATAATCATGTTGTGGCTTTGGGAAGTGAAGTTCCAACAGTTATTTATTATTATTATTATTATTATTATTATTATTATTATTATTATTATTATTATTATTATTGAAAGTGCATGTGTCTCGACGTAAAATTAACGGGAAAGTGCTCCAGCGTAACACAACAATTAAAACGTTAATTGTTTACGGGGTTAGCCAGGCTGTAACCAGAAACATTTTTCGTGGTGGGAAGGGAGAGGGGGAGAGTGGCATTTTGCATGTCTATGCGTGTTTCTTGTCCATATATGCGTGAGGCCTTGCATGTACATACAATACATCTGGATTGCACAAAGGGCGGTGAACGCCGCTAAACCGCCCCTCTGGCCTGTGGGAAAATCAGAGCGCCAAACCAGACGTTCACAAGGACGAGGTACGCGAAATGTTTCGGTGAAGGTGCGGTTTCGCGCTTGAATGTTGCCAAAAGCCACGTGCCATCTCGCCGAATATCAAGTTTTTTTTTTAAAGCTTCTAGGGTTCTGACCATCCACCCCAAGAAATGCCGTCAGAGACTGCTGGAGTACTAAAATAACATTTATCAGTTTAAACGTACCTATACGGTTTGGTAAAATAAGAGCAACACTTCAAGCCTCTAAGCTTGGCCACGGCGGGGAGCCCACGTCGTGCACGAACACTCTCCATGAAAGTCTGTCAGCCACTTTTTCATGGCAGGCTATGATACGTTCTTATAGGCTCTTACTGACCACTGAAAAGTGCACACTAACGTTGCATATTGCCCCATGTCGTGTTCAGCGGGGGCGAGTGGTTTTATCCAGGGTGATTACCACAAACCTCTGAATGGCCGTTCCTCTGATTTCACGGGGCCATGAAACGACACTTCAATACTAGCAAAAAAAAAATGCTTGCGAGGCAGCTACTTACAAAATACGATCGGCAATTTGTTAATTTTTATTTTTTATGAGAAGAGTAATAGTAATTTTTTGGGCTTTACGTCTAAAAGCCATGACATGATTATAAAACGCGTACTAAGCACATTAGCAAAGTGTATACACTTTGATAATGCGCGTAGTACGCGTTATGTACAAAAGATAAACGTAAGGTGCAAGGCTCGCCCTTGTACAGCGAAAATTTGCGTTAAGGTTCGTATTCTACAATAGGGTACGACACTTATGTTAACGTGGGTTTCAATAACGGCCCTTTGAATCCTAGTGCGGTTAATCGGTTGCACTTCAAGTTTCTTCATTTTAATAGAGTAATACTGTCAAAGTATGGGGTATTTTTTCCTCGAGGTTGAACGCAAGCCCGCCTGTGTGCCAATGCGTGCGAACTTTAGGCTGACGTCATGAGCACGACATTCACTGATCCCTCCTTCGAAGAAAAATACCGAGAACGCGAGCACGAGTATTTTTTTATTCGCATAGTCGAATGGCTGTCGTGCATCGTCTTGGCGAGGCTTGTCCAGATTGCTTAACGTGTGTACGACTGTAGCTTTGAACGCATTTACGATTACTTACTCGGTGTACATGAGTCCCTCTTTAACGGCCGTGGCCAAGTGCTGAGCCATCCGGGACATCTGGTACGTGGTATTGTAGGCGGCGCACGACATTTGTGTTTTGAGGCTGAGTGAAACAGAGAAACGAAAAAGCTCGATAAAATGATCTATACTCATGGTATTATTAACCTGTTCGCTCGCTGATGTGAAGAATGCTGATCCAAGTGTTAGGTCTTAGGCAGGAGTGCGGTGACAGTATCCAACAGTGAAAGCACGCACGCTCACACGCACACACACGCACGCACAAATAAAAGTAACAAAGTTTGCACTAAGCCGCGCAAAGTTTGAAACCGCAGAACTTTACTACTCTGAATACCAATCTGGTTGATTCTATAATAGCTTGTTTCTAGCCCTTAACCAGGTGACACTAGATTGCTTCTACATTGATTCTCGGCGCGGAGGTAATCGAGTTAAACCACGGACACTCACACACGCAACGCTGATGTCCAAACTCCAGGAACACAAATTCGCGTTGGAACCAAGCGCTCGCACCTCATATATCTACGGGCACGTCTTCGTTTGGCGAAGGGCTTCTATCGTTTCGGAATCTTCTTCTGCCAGCCACCATTTCCTTCCCCGTTCCCTAGCAATCTCCCAATGTGAGTACTGAAGTCTGCGGATCAGTGACATCGCTTCGCGGTCATTTGTTCTGCTAAATGTTCCTTTTGCAATGAAGAAGTTTTAAAATTTTAGTGTACCAGTGGTGAGGAGTGGAAGTGACGCAACCTCCGTAAAACACAGCAGTTTGATGATAGTTTCATGGTAGGGCTCACGGCGCATAGCCGACAGCCCACCAAAATTGCATCTAGATTAAACTTCGCTATTGAAAGTTTTACCACCCATATTAACTTGTCTTGATGGAAAGCGAAAGTCGTCTTAATATTCTTCCACACCGAATGCATGAATTACTTCTCCCGATTGCTTTTTACACCTCGAGTGGTTTTACGGTGCCTCCGGAATCGTCCCAGCTTTGACCAAGAGGCGATGTGTTGTGATGGCGTCATTACGTAACGTCACAAAGTTTCACGACATGTGGCGTCTTAATAAAATATTGTGACGCATTTTTTTTACATTGTCATATTTCGCATCAATTCCGTCAACGTCGCCGATGATGAAGTTTGTTTTTGCCGCAGAGGAGGCCTCGAAACATCTGGGTTTAATAACAAAAGTTGCAGATGAGCAGTTTTTGAAAGGGAAACAAATTGGATGTCGTCTGCACGGCGCAAAAGTCTTCTGGATAGATAGGGGCGGGGGGGGGGGGGGAGAGGCTGTAGAAAGGTAAAATACGGCCGTTAACTAGTAATAAGTTCCCTAAGTGCGCGATGGAGCAAACCGGTCAGTTTGGTGACGTCGATTTCATGACTAGAACAAGGAAGAAGCTGTCGCACAAACGAAGACATTAGCTGGCTGCTTTCACGTGATTCCAATTTGTTAAAATAGATATGACCGAAAGTGTTACTGTCAGACAAATACTTCGCAGGTTCTCTGTGGCACTGTTACGCAGAATCCGTGAAACAACGTAAGCGAACAGATCCAAGCAAGTGACACGAGGGACCTATACAACTCCGCTATAAATGTTAGCCATGCAGAGGATGTAGAAACCTCTGGAGCACTCTTGAACGCACGGGCATGTGCGATGACATCAAACTTACCTCTTCTCACGTATTCTCGATGTGGCGATCTCAGAGCGAGCCAGACTAGCGCGTAGTTCCTCGGGTAGCCGCTCGAGGTCACCGCAAGCGCAGGACTGCATTCCCATGGCGCGGAACGCGTCTTTGATTGAGAGAGGAATTGTGGAATTGGAGCTTTGTGGGAATTGGAGCCGGCACGCTTGCCGACATGAAGCTCAAAACACTTCTGCTCTTGCAGGTTTTTGCGGTCTTTTGGACGGAAACTGCGCATCAGCCGTTCGGCGGGCATACGGTACACGTGTGTTCTGCCATCCCATCTGCGGATACATCACGCAAAGCGTCATCAGCTCGAGCATCTTCATCGCTGGACGAGGAGTGCTGCGATCATTGTTGGGCCGCTTGCGTGAGCGATTACGACGGCGACAGTCGCTGCATGTGTGGAACATCATGTGACCCAGAACTGGCGTATATATTTGCGCGACACCTTGGCTGCGTGGGAATTGGAGCCGGCACGCTTGCCGACATGAAGCTCAAAACACTTCTGCTCTTGCAGGTTAGTGCTGTTCGTATGCTTGAAATTCCTAAAGCACTTTTAGCGTTGCCGGCTCCTCCCACAAAGGCATGTGTCGCGAGCACCACGGTGCGAGTATGCACTGGAGTTAATGGGAAGCGTTTTCGCTTTATTGTGAACCGAGTGCTATATGTTGCTCTTCTTCTACTACTTTCTGGAGACACTGAGCTCAATCCTGGGCCTTTCGATAAAGGTGAAATGGATTATTTGAAGAAGTTGCAGGATACTATTATGAGTAAGTTAGAGAATATTGATACTAGGATAACTAACAGTGATACTAACATAGCTGAAATAAAGAGCAAGCTAGAGATGACCGAGGGCCATATAGAAAGCGTCATGAAATTGGTACATGAGCAAGCCACTGTAATAAAGAATCTAACTCATCAGATGCGAATTCTTCAAAAGAAAAATATCGACCTCGAAAACAGAAGCCGTAGAATGAACCTTGTGTTTTACGGGATAGACGATAATGACCAGCATGAAACTTGGGAACAGTCTGAGGCCCTCGTTAAGGGCATCTGCACTGCCCAACTTGGATACGAACTGACATCAGTTCAAAGGGCACATCGCGTAGGTCGTTTTAATGAACGGAAAAAAAGGCCAATTATTGTGAACTTTTCATCTGATAAGGAAAAAGAGGTCGTCCTTAAAAAAGCCAAGAATTTGAAAGGTACACAGTACAGCATTGAGCAGGACTATTCATTCGAAACGCGCACTGTACGAAAGAAGCTTTGGGAATATGGTAAAGCGAAAAGGGCGGATAAGAAAAACCTGGTTAAGCTAAAAGCCGATAAACTGATTATAAAGGCAGAGCATTTACTTGGGATGATGAAAAGGAAGAAGTCGTTGCCTTGTCTAAACGATGACAGGAAAATTGTACCATCTGCGTTCATCGTGATTTAATTATTGCAGTAGTGAATTGCCGAAGTGTAATAAACAAAATAGACGAATTCGCTGGCTTGCTTGATACCGTGAAGGCCGTTGTCGTGTTCGGTACAGAATCTTGGCTCAACCCATCCATCTCTGATCATGAAGTGTTTCCTAACAATTATACTGCCTACCGTAAAGATAGGCCGAATCATGGGGGTGGTGTTTTCTTGTTAGTTCACTCGTCCCTTTCATCCGCTAATCTTGATATCGGTAATGACGCTGTCGAATCTGTCTGGAGTACTGTTACAGTCAGTAACAATTTTTCTTTTGTAGCTGGGACGTTTTATCGACCGCCCGCCGCGAACTCCAGTATTTTGCAATTATTAGGTGACATCGTTTCACAGGCGTCTGACCGTACGATATTATTAGCGGGTGATTTTAATTTACCCGATCTAAAATGGCGAAGTCACTCATGCGAGGTGCTGCATGCCAGCCGTAATAACCTAGAAATGAAGAACATTGTTGACACTTTTGGGTTGATACAGTACGTTTTAGAACCCACAAGACTTAAGCATACCCTTGATCTTCTCTTTTGTAACTCCCCTAATTTAGTAAGTAACGTTGATATCATTCCAGGCATTAGTGACCATCAGGTTGTAGTAGCAGGCGTTACAACAAAAATTCAAAAAATCACGAAGAGTATCAGAAGAAAGTTGTTCTTTTTTGACAAAGGCGACTATCCGTCAATTTCCGCAAGGCTTCTTGATTATTTGCCTGTATTTGAATGCTTGGTAGAGGAACACAGTGTAGAGTATTTGTGGAACACATTTAAAAATAAGATACTCGAACTCTCAGAGCAGTACATACCAAGTATGGATTCGGCTAAGCTTAAGAAACGTAAAAAACCGTGGGTGACTTACAGTATCCTGAAACTAATTAAGAAACGAAGACGGGTATTCAAAAAATACAAAAAAATGAAAGGTAAAGTTCATTATAAGAAGCTACAGGAGCTAACACGTGAATATAAAGAAGAATCAGTAAAAGCAAAGCAGCATTTTTTTAAACGATTGAATGAAAATATGAGTACAAATCCTAAACCTTTCTGGCAATATCTAAAGGGATGTGGGTCTGATCCGGTTGGAATAAATGAACTTATTTTCGATGGACGCACTCTTTCCAATGATACGGATAAAGCCACGTGCCTAAATAATTACTTCCAATCCGTTTTTCTTCCTAAATCTGCATTGAGCTCACCCTTGCCAAGTAGCAGTGTTCCTCTCATGGAACCTCTTGTAATTAGTGTCAGCGGTATTGAGGCCTTGCTCAGGAATCTCGACGACAGTAAAGCTATCGGCCCTGACGGTGTCTCTCCAAGAGTTTTAAAACAGTGCGTTAACCCTATTTCGCTCTACCTTTACCTGATCTTTGAAAAATCACTAAGCACTGGCCAGTTGCCACAAGACTGGAAAGTGGCAAATGTAGTCCCGATCCACAAAGGAGGTCCTAAAAAAGACGTCACGAATTATAGACCTATTTCGCTTACCTCGATATCATGTAAAATCATTGAACATGTAATATATAAGGCTCTAATGAAGCATTTATTAGATTACGATTTGTTAACAAAGACTCAACACGGTTTCGTAAGGGCTTTTCCTGTACGACCCAGCTTCTCGAGTTCTACAACGATCTAGTATCCGAAATTGATCTAGGTGGGCAAACAGACTGCATCTTTTTAGATTTCAGTAAAGCTTTCGACACTGTTTCGCATCCTCTGCTCCTCGAAAAATTACGAATATTTAATATAGATGAGAGAATTTTTAATTGGATAGAGAATTACCTGTCACAACGCCGCCAATGTGTTGTCCTGAATGGTACTAAGTCGGAATTTCTAGAGGTCACTTCGGGCGTCCCCCAGGGATCTGTATTGGGGCCTCTGCTATTCATAATTTTTATAAATGACATTAACAAAGATATAAGCTCAAGTATACGGCTCTTTGCTGATGATTGCGTAGTCTACAGAAAAATTCAGAAAGAACATGATGTCCTTGAATTGCAGGCTGATCTTGCACGTATTCATCAATGGTGCCTTAAGTGGCAAATGAAGTTAAACACAAATAAGTGCGTTCATGTGTGTTTTACAAAGAAGAAAAAAATATTTGATGCAAATTTTTGTCTAGGAGGAAATAAATTAGATAAAAAATACTCGTACAAATATTTGGGTGTATTGCTGTCGCATGATTGTTCCTGGAATGCACATGTGGATTATGTGGTTTCCAAAGCCGCGATAGCGTTGAATTATATTCAAAGAAATTTGAGATGTGCAGATCCTAACCTTAGAAGCACGGCCTACCTCACTTGTATTCGTCCAATCTTGGAGTATGCCTGTACTCTTTGGGACCCAACACAAACAGGTTTGATAAATAAATTAGAAAAAATACAAAACAGAGCAGCCAGGTTTGTTTTGGGTCGGTACGGACAAAAGCAGAGTTGTACCGAAATGAAAAAGGAGTTAAACTGGGAGTTACTGTCGTCCCGTCGCAAAAAATTGCGTTTGAAGCTTTATACCAGATATTTCATAAAAAAACGGGACTAGACAGCGACACTTACTTAAAAAGACCAGATTACATATCTCAACGTACAGACCACATACACAAAATAAAGCCGTGCCGGGCCAGGACGAACCTGTATTCAAACTCGTTTTTTGTTAAAACTATTAACGAATGGAATTGTTTGACATCTAAGCAAGTGTGCAGTGTTAATGAAGATGTATTTTTTTCAACTTTGTAACCCCCCTGCTGTAACGCCTCTGGCAAAGCGGGGATATGTATGAATAAAGAAAAAAGTATAACCACCGCTCCACCTGAACTAGACGGCGTAGTAGAGCCATCCGTGTAAATGTGCACGTTGTTACTGTAGTTTTGTTCTAGTAGGAATAGACTCAGTTGTTTCAGGGCTTGTGTCGGTAAGTCCGATTTTCTCCTCATTCCTGGAATCATTAAGTGAACTCGCGGCCGGCTCAAGCTCCAAGGAGGAAGCAGTGGCTTTGATGCAGGTGCGTATGTCTCAGTAAACCATGAACGATGCTTGTAGACAATAGTGCCGTATGTCGTGCGGGGCCTTTCAGCAGCTAGGCTCGCCAGGTGGTGAGAAGGGGTCCTGGCACAATGCCTGAGGTGCATGCGCATTGTCTCGGTAATAATATGCGCCTTTATTGAGTGATCTTGAGCGATGGCAATGGTTTCAGCCGTTGAAGCACTAAGGGATAATCCAAGGCATATCTTAAGTGCTTGGGCTTGAATGCTCTGAATTGCGCGCAGGTTGGTATTGCCAGTGTAGATATTGCAGGTAAGCTGTACCGTAAGAATCCGATAAATAGCACTCTGTACAGTTGTAGCATCGATGGTATGGGCACTCCCCAATCAATTCCTGCAAGGAATTTGAACCTGTGGCATGTTGCGATCAGCCTCTTCTTCACATAGTTCACGTGTGGAGTCCACGGCAGGTTTTTATCTATTATGACTCCCAAGAACCTGTGGCTTCTGCTGAACGATATGTATTCTTCATTAATCGATATGCTGTAAGCAGACATTGGTTTACGCGTGAACGCTACCACTGCACATTTTCCGCAGGACACCTCGAGGCCTTGTTTACGAAGGTAGCATGACGTCATTGTAGCAGCCTTCTGAA